TTTGGGGCAGATTTTGGGGGTTTTGGGTGGTTTTTATATGATTTTTGTGTCGTTTTTCCCATTTTTGCCCGTTTTAACCCCATTTTTCCCCCCCCCGGCCTGGTGCAGGCCCAGCCCCGGGGCCTGGAGCAGCTCAGGGCTCTGGGGGGGATTTGGGGCAGATTTGGGATTTTAGGGGTGGATTTTGGGGGTTTTTGGGGGGTTTTTCTATGATTTTTGTGTCGTTTTCCCCGTTTTTGCCCGTTTTAACCCCATTTTTCCCCCCCCCGGCCTGGTGCAGGCCCAGCCCCGGGGCCTGGAGCAGCTCAGGGCTCTGGGGGGGATTTGGGGCAGATTTGGGATTTTAGGGGTGGATTTTGGGGCAGATTTGGGATTTTAGGGGTGGATTTTGGGGCAGATTTGGGATTTTTGGGGGGGTTTTCTTAGGGTTTTTGGGGGATTTTTGGGGATTTTTGGGGGGATTTTCTTAGGGTTTTTGGGGGATTTTTGGGGATTTTTTAGGGTTTTTGAGGGGATTTTTTAAGGATTTTTTTGTGTTTTAGGGGATTTTGGGGTTTTGGGGGATTTTTGAGGTGACTTTGGGGGATTCTGCAGAGGTTTGGGGGTGGATTTGGGGTTTTTTGGGGCAGATTTTGGGTGTATTTTGGGGGTTTTGGGGGGTTTTTACATGATTTTTGTGTCATTTTTCCCGTTTTTGCCCGTTTTAACCCCATTTTCCCCCCCCAGGCCTGGTGCGGGCCCAGCCCCAGGGCCTGGAGCAGCTCGAGGCTCTGGGGGGTCTCGAGGTGCTCGGGGGGGCCCTGCAGAGCCCCCAGCCCCCCCTGCGGGCCCGCGCCGCCTTCCTGCTGCACTGCCTGCTCAGGGAGCACCCCCGCCTCAAAGGTCAGCCCCAAAAGCCCCGAAATTCCCCCCAAAACCCACCCTGAGCCCCCCCGCACCACCCGGGCACTGGGAGCCCAAAATCCCCTGAAATAACCCCAAAATTGACCCCAAAATTGACCCCAAAATCCGCCCCGAAATCCACCCAGAACCCCCTCACATCACCTGGGCACTGGCAGCCCAAAATCCCCTGAAATAACCCCAAAATTGACCCCAAAACCCCCAAAATCTGCCCCAAAATCCACCCAGAGCCGCCTCGGCACCACCCGGGCAGAGGGAGCCCAAAATCCCCTGAAATAACCCCAAAATTGACCCCAAAACCCCCAAAATCTGCCCCAAAATCCACCCAGAGCCGCCTCGGCACCACCCGGGCAGAG